GCTCAAGCTACATTCAAAAGGTTCAAACACCAAACCAAAGCCTCCCACGGAGCAACTTATCTTTTCCTGTAATGCACTTTCAATATCTTTACTTGCTTTCCTAGGAGTAGTGTTAGACTGTAAGGAAAATTCATTCATCAATATATCATACGACCCTTGATTTTCAAGGCGCCGGAGCACCATCCCTGTTGTTCGTTCACTCACCCCATATATCATACAACCGTCGCTCCCTGAGCAACGCGCCAGAGCACCGCCCAAAACCCACCACCAACACCATCACTCAACGGCCTTGTAGTTCAGGCCGTGAACCTAACAGTCGAGACTAGTTCCTCTCTCAGCTACAATCGTTTGATTAGAAGACGAGTTCAAACAGGCGCACCACTTATCCATCCTACACTCATCAACATCTCGATGCACGGTAGACCGTGCTGGCACGCCCGCGCCCAACCGCACCGCACCCAAAAGCAGGAAGCCGCGTGTCAACGCATATCCCCTCGGCCCGGAACTCCAGGCCGTGAGATTTGCGCGGCAGACAGCAAGATTCATGCACAATCCCACCAAGAAACACATGGGAACTGCTAAAGGAGTATTGAGACACATCCAAGGAACACTAGACTTTGGGATTGTGTTTGAGAAAGGAAAAGAAACTACTCTCATTGGCTATTGTAACAGTGATTGGGCAAGAAGTGAAGACGACATGAGGAGCACCTCAGAGTATGTTTTTACTCTGGGATCTGGTGTGTTTTCATGGGCCTCAATCAAGCAAAACATAGTTGCTTTGTCTACAGCAGAGGCAGAATATATAAGTGCTGCAGAGGCAACTTCTCAAGCAAAGTGGCTGAGGTTTGTGCTTGAAGACTTTGGAGAAGAACAGATTGAAGGAACACAGATAATGTGTGATAACACATCAGCAATTGCTATGGCAAAGAACCCTGTTTTCCACCAGAAGTCAAGGCACATTAATAGGAAGTTTCATTTCATTCAAGAGGCAATTCAAGCCAAGGAGATAGAGCTTGTCTACTGCAGAATTGAGGAACAAATTGCAGACATTCTAACTAAAGCTTTTCCTAAGGACAGGTTTGCATACTTAAGGGAATTACTTGGTGTTAAGTCGGCTAAAGGATTAGAAGGGAATGTTGGTGTGTAATCCTTCAGCCGAAATCTTGGAGCTAAAGGAATTGAGCTTTACATTTCAGTTTTGTTTTAAGTAGTCTATTATTTTCCAGTTTTATTGTGCACCCTTGGATCACAGTCCAAGTGTTTAACCAAATAGTGGAGCAGACATGAATTGAATCGAAGCATTTTTTTCATTCTCCATAGCAACGTTCTCTCAATCTCAATCTCCCTGTGATTTCTTCTCTGCTCCCAAAATATCCAAAATACACTAAAACCTAAATACTGAAAATATGAATTCTAACAGTCCCATCCGCTACAAAAAAAATCAATAATGTTTAACATTCAATTCTGAGATGAGATCTGTGTTGAAATGTAAATTATTTACTGGTTTAAGTCTTTTAGCTAGACAGGTGTAAGGCTTGGATTTATTCCTAGAGTGTAGGTCTCATAGGTCCTAGCTCATGCCAAGTGTGCAGCTCATATTGCTGACACTAAATTGTATGGCTGAGATCATATTCTCTGTTGTACAAAAGGAATGTTTATGTTACAAATGAAAAGTGTGTGTACGTTGCATTCTATTGCTATTGGAGCTGAGTAACATTCTCTCTCTCTCACACCATCTCTCTATTTTTCTCTGCTGCATTTCTTCATATACTTTCTCTACAAGAAAACTTCTACTCTGTCAAAACTCCAACATGGTATCAGGAGCGTTGGTTCAGATATGAGACTGGGCGTAGTGGAATCGTAGTGAGCTAGTTGATATACTGAGATACTCTCTATTTCTGGTCTCACATGGCTGGATCTGGAACGGGTGAGCTTCGTGCTCCAATCTTCAATGGCAGCAACTATGACTTCTGGAGAATAAAGATGTGCACGATCTTCAAATCTCACAAGCTGTGGGATATGGTTGAAAAAGGATATGATCAACCTGTGAAGAAGGAAGGAGAAGATCTGACTGCAGCTCAAAAGCTTGCTTTGGAAGAGAATATTGCAAAGGATGCTAAGGCCTTGGGACTGATACAAGGTGCAGTTTCTGATGACATCTTTCCTAGAATTGCATTGAAGGAGTCAGCCAAGGAAGCATGGGTGATCCTGCAACAAGAGTTCAGAGGAAATAAGAAGGTGAGATCTGTGAAACTTCAAGATCTTAGAAGAGAATTTGAATACACACGTATACATGATGACGAGTCATTATCTGGGTATGTCAATAAACTGCTTGAGCTAGTGAATCAAATGAAGGCTTATGGTGAAGAGTTAACTGAGCAAAGAATTGTTCAGAAACTCTTGATTAGTTTATCCAAAGAATATGATTCTATTGCTGAAGTTATAGAGGAAACAAAAGACACAGAATCTATAGGGGTTCAGGAGGTTATAGGCTCTCTAAAATCCCATGAACAACGTTTACTAAGGCATAATGAGAGAGTGACAGAAAAGGCATTTTACAGCCTAAATGTAGGTTCTAAAGATCAATCAAACACAGGACAAGCAGGTGGTTCCAAGTCTAAGAAGAATTGGAAATCTCAGAAAGGGAAGAAGTGGGATACCAAGTCTGAAAACAATTCCAAGAAGGAAAATCAGACTGAAGGGGCCAAGGTTCCCTGCAAAACTTGTGACAAATTGCACTATGGTGTGTGTTGGTTCAAAGGCAAACCAAAATGTTACAAGTGTGAGAGGTTTGGTCATATAGCCAAAGACTGCAGAGGAAAATCTGATCAATCTGCAAATTATGCAACACATAAGGAGGAAGAAGGTACGATCTTCTATGCATGTCATGCTGCTGCAGTAGTGAAGAACAATGGTGTGTGGTATGTGGACAGCGCATGCAACAATCACATGACCTCACACGCATCCTTCTAGTCAATATTGATACTAAGGTCATTGCAAAAGTGAAAATGGGCACAGGAGACTTGGTGCAAGCAACCGGGAAAGGCACTTTGGTGATTGATACTAAGGCTGGACCTAGGCATATCAAAGAGGTTATGCTTGTGCCAGGATTGGATGAAAACTTGCTCAGTGTAGGTCAGATGATAGAGCATGGCTATTTCCTAGTTTTTGGAAATTCAATGGTGGAGATATTTCATGACAGTTCAATGGACAATCTGGTGGCAAAGGTTTCCATGACAGGAAACCGATGTTTCCCACTGTCACTGAAATATGCAAACTCTGTAGCTATGAAGGCTATAATTGAAGAATCCACTTGGTGCTGGCATAGGAGGTTTGGTCATTTGAATTTCCAGAGTTTGAAGTTGTTACAGCAACAAGAGATGGTCTATGGTCTGCCTGAGCTCGGAAATACAGAGAGAGTGTGCCAAGGGTGTGCCATTGGAAAAGCACATAGAGAGGCTTTTGGTAAAGAAAAGTCATGGAGGGCTAGTGTGCCATTGGAACTGGTCCATTCAGATGTCTGTGGACCAATGCAGACTACAACAATTGGTGGGAACAAATATTTCTTGACTTTCATTGATGATTGCACTAGGATGTGTTGGGTGTACTTCATGCAATTTAAGTCAGAAGTATTTAATATTTTCAAGAAATTCAAAGCTATGGTGGAATTACAAAGCGGCTACAAAATCAAGAAACTAAGAAGTGACAGAGGTGGAGAATATACTTCCACTGAATTCCTGCAATTTTGTGAAGAGATTGATTTGGAAAGACAGCTAACTGTGGCTGTCTGCCGCGCAAATCTCACGGCCTGGAGTTCCGGGCCGAGGGGATATGTGTTGACACGCGGTTTCCTGCTTTTGGGTACGGTGCGGTTGTGCGCGGGCGTGCCAGCACGGTCTACCGTGCGTCGATATGTTGATGTGTATGGAAATGGTTAAGTGGTGCGCCTGTTTGAACTCATCTTCTAATCAAACGATTGTAGCCAAGAGAGGAACTAGTCTCGGCTGTTAGGTTCACGGCCTGAACTACAAGGCCGTTGAGTGATGGTGTTGATGGTGGGTTTTGGACGGTGCTCCGGCGCGTTGCTCAGGGAGCGACAGTCGTATGATATATGGGGTGAGTGAACGAACAACAGGGATGGTGCTCCGGCGCCTTGAAAATCAAGGGTCGTATGATATATTGATGAATGAATTTTCCTTACAGTCTAACACTACTCCTAGGAAAGCAAGTAAAGATATTGAAAGTGCATTACAGGAAAAAATAAGTTGCTCCGTGGGAGGCTTTGGTTTGGTGTTTGAACCCTTTGAATGTAGCTTGAGCATTGTATTTATAGGAAGAGTTCCTGGAGGAGTAATCGAGGCTGAAAATCTGCATGATGGAGCCTGATTAGAGCAAGTGGGTAGTCCAATCGACATTTGGGATCGTGAAGTATGGTGGTGTGACCCCATAAATCCTGGTGAATCTCGGCCGCCGCCC